TTAAATGGGGACATTTTACTGCGCTAAATCAATGTGACTTCAAGTGACCTTTTTCAAACCTGTTATCAAATTAAAAGCAGATTTGAGGTGTACTTTTATATGTCAGTGGCATGCTTTTGACAGACAAGAAAAGGAAAAGTAACAGTGTAGTTATTCTGAATATAAAATTCTTTAATTAAATAGTGGAATATATGCAGGAAATTGTGGATTTGTCTTCAGAGAGCAAAGAATGTTTGTAGAAAGTTATTTGTTCTGTAAATAATTAGCTTCAAGTTCAAAATTCTAGTGTTATTTGAACCAATTTCCTCCCCAGAAAAAACAGCACATACTGATCATGAAATCCACTCACCAAAAGGTATTTAAAAATAATTACTGATGTCTTAATTATTTAAGCTTGTTGATAGCCTTTTGTTCAGAAATATACTATATGACTAATTCTAGAGGTGTCTTCTGCCTTGTTCAAGACAGGTAATATTAGATTTGCAGGTTCTTTATATCCTTCAATATGATGACAATAGTGCAAATGCTCAGTTAATGAGAGTACTTACGAAGTATGTAAACTGGACCTTTGCCTTTAGAATTTGCTTGTCTGCTGAAATACAATTAAATTTTACAAGCCATATCTTGACTTCTCTGATATATAATGGGAAAGAAAACTTAAAAATAGATTTCACCTCTGCTGTTAACAAGTTTTGACCTTTGCTCACATTTGTTGGGGGTGGGGAGTGGCGTATAGTACCAATTAACATGAATTATTAACTACTACATTAATAATTAATTTATTAGAGGGCTAAAGGCATCTGTCTTTGCCAGCCAATACTATCGAGAGAAAATGAAGAAAACAATACAACCCTAATTATAACAGCTTAATGAGGATGTTTGGAAGATGTGATGAGATTCAGTCATTCTGAATGCTCTTTATTTCCTCTTTGAAACCACACTAGGTGCAAAGAGTCAGGCAGCTAACTATAGTTCCTGTAGTACAGGTTTTCTCCCTACTGTCTGAAGAAAGGAAGCCTATGAAGGAGAGCTCAATTTAGATACTAAGGACTGACCAAGAATGCCATTGCCTAAACATTATGAATGCTGTCTGTTTCAGTAATGAACTATGTCTGAATCACTAATGGATTGAGTATGCCAGTGAGAAAGCTTCTTTGTCTCTAAATTACACTTTTGTGGAGCTTTCTCAATTTCATAGGTACAAGAGGTCTACTTACAGTACCTTTCACTGCAGACTGTGCTTTTGGACTCAGATATGCAGATTAATTGTAACAAGTTTATATTACCTGAGTTCTTTTTATAGGTCTAGATCAAAATGAAGGAAAATAAGAAAAAGAACATAATTAAATTTAATGCCTTGGGAAATTTCAGGCGAAGTAAAAACAAACTAACAAAAAGATTATTCCACAACACCCAAGTATTATGTTGATGTTTTTTGTCCTCTCTGCTGCATCCCTTTTTGTTTAGGCCCCTGAACCAGGTTGTCTGTGTCCTTTCAGTAGGCGACTGTCCAGTACTGGGTGATGCAGTGTTCTACATCTTTCATCAGCCACTGGTGTAGAAGTCTTCATAAGTAAAACCTGTTCATAAGTAACACCTCTGTGTAGTGCTCATAAGAAACATTTGTTCATAATTAACACAACAACCCAAACAACACCCCGACCACATCTCTCCTAAAGCCCCATAAATGGTTCACGACACTAACAACTTTAAGCATCTCCACAATATATTTTTGGGAGTAGTTTTCTTTCAGTCCATAATTTTTCCTTTAAAAAAACTGCTGGACTATGCAATATGTTTTATTTTCCTCTGGGCCATTACCACAAGCCCCATCACTCCGTCTTGCTTAGCAGATCAGCAGTATTAAACCAACTTAGAAAGACTAAGATGAGCATTAAATTAATCAAACAATGCTCTTGGGGAAATGGCCACTAATTTCAGATTTTTCATCTCCTGAAAATCAATTATTATTATGTTTATTGATATTATACTTGTCACTACTTTCAGTATTTTGCTTGTGGTGACAGAGACTAAAACAAGAAAGATGCTTCGAAAGATGTATTAAACCAGGTATAATCTATTCCCTAGGCAGCAGAACTTGGTAACCATCTTAGTTTGGGTCAATAAATATGCTGTAATAGGAAAACCTACCAGAATATATTTTACATAGTCATATATTTTACATAGTTATATATCATTTTATTGTCTTAACATGTTATCCTCACATAAATTGTGGTTTCAGGTTGATATTTCTCCTAAAATTGTTAAAATGGACCTAAAGAGCAGCATTCTGCTCTGTTTTCATGGGTGTTCTAGGAAGGCAAGGGGATACCCAGAGAGTTTTCCTCTACTCCCATAGGTGGGCTGGAACGGGGAAAAATAACAGGAGTTCTAGTCAATGTGCAATCTCTCAGCAACATGGCCAAATCTAAACCTTGAAGTGTATGTACCTGTTACTTTCTAGCAGTGGGCATTACAGGTAGAGCTCATTGCTTCTTATGTACCTGCTTCAATGACCAATAAAATAAATAGAACCCCTTTGTAAGCATTGCATCAGGCCCTAATGGAGCAACAGCAAGTAGTCCCAAGACCCTCCCTACTTAAGCCACTCAGGCAGAATAGGCTGTATTTCTTTAGGTTGGCTGCTACCATCCTCCATTCACTCTCCCCCGCCCCCCAGGTGATAAAGAAGAATAAGAATGGAATTTCTCCTTGACTCTGTGCTTATTATTAAACTCTGATGCAAACTTAAAGATGAACTTAAAATCATTTTCATTTGTCAACATTTAAGTTCAAGACCTCAGCTATGGACTTTTGGGTTACTTTTGGAATGTGGGTATAGATTGTTGTGGCCCTCATGCAAGCCATGGGTGTGGGGAGGGCAAAGGTATCTTCCGTCTCATCTCCTGAATACCCCATTTAAAAGTGAGGTACAATTAGCTCAGAAGAGTGTAGCAACTTTTCCCTTCCAACATGCTCAGGGGTGCAGTGCCCCACAGTGGAGGGATGGATAAGACAGAAAAGCATTCCTAGTCAGGTATGAACCTAAGCACGTGCTTAATTAAAAAAAAAAAAAGATTTGCCTCCCAGAGGAGTCAGTGGAATTTAAGTGTATGTTTAATTTATACAATGAGCCTTTAGTTCCTTCCCAAATAAGAACAGGCTTAGAGTTGTGTTTAAGGAGGTACTTAAAGGTGTGATAGCAGCCTTCAACTACTTGAAGGGGAGTTCTAAACAGGATGGGGAGAGTTTGTTCTCAGTGGTGACAGATGACAGAACAAGGAGAAATGGTCTTAAATTACAGTGAGAGAGGTCTAGGTTGGATATTAGAAAATACTATTTCCCTAACAGGGTGATGAAGCACTGGAATGGGTTACTGAGGGAGGTGGTGGAATCTCCATCCCTAGAGGTTATTAAATCCCGGCTTGACAAAGCCCTGGCTGGAATGACTTAGTTGGGGTTGGTCCTGCTTTGGGCAGGGATTGGACTTGATGGCCTCTGGAGATCTCTTCCAGCCCTGGGATGCTAAGTCACACTGACTTCAGTAGGTACTTTGGTTGAACTCTGAATAGAGATGGATTCAAACAGAAGTTTAAGGGCTTTCTTGAATTAGGGCTCCGTGATCCTCAGAGGCCGTTAGGCATCTCACTCCCATTGATCTAATCCCAATAGTTCATTTCAGCAAGTAGAACCTGGCAATAGCAAGGGAGCCTGACAAACAAGGCAAAGCTCAGGCTCATTCAGAATCAAAGGAGAGGCTTGCCAGTGAGTCTGCCTGTGTGTCTGCCTTAAAAGACAGCACCGCTGTAGTAGTTACTTGAAAATCATCAGCTGTGCAAGCTGTGGGCCAAATCTTAGTATGCTCCCACTGCACAGCCCTGACACTAGGAAGCTGCAGTGATCAAAATCACTGGATGGATCTAAGTCCTGTGTCATACAGGGGTTCAAATGATATGGTCAATAATTGTCCCTTCTGACCTGAAAAGACCATGACTCTGTTAAAAGGCCTATTGAAATCAATGGTACTGTGGTGTGACCTGCTGCTACTCAATGTAAGTAAGGGGACCAGAATTTGGCACTTTGAAATCAGGGCTTATTTTATTTATCGCTGTAGGATTCAGGACAAAGTATAGTTAAAGCTCCAGCATTATAGAAATGACTTTCCATTAAATTAGGGTTTCTACTAAGTAAATATTAAGATTCAGCTTTTATGAATTTAATAATGTTTGATTTTAATCATAAAATATATGAAATATTTCTTTGGTTACAGACTGATAACAGCTATTACTGTAGCAGTCACTAAATACTGTTATAAATCTTGCTAATGAAATAGCAATAATATAACCCTCCAATCATTGGGATGATATAATGTAACTGTAGCTTCTCACAAGAAAAAATGTGCATATATTAGACTTAGGAATTGTCATTCAATTACCTTACCATTCCTTGGGAATAAAAACATCACAGGGTGCCCAGTGGTTCAAAGAAACAGATGGTTTACCTTGTCTGTACTACGTCTAACTTACGGTATGTCTGTTATTAACCCCTTCCCCTGCTCTCACTCCAGCTCTAGGATCTTCCCACTGACCTGGAGCCCAGGCTCCAGTTCAAGCCTGAACGTCTATACTGCAGTTCACTAATCTGTTAGGGTATGTCTACACAGCAAAGTTATTTCGAAATAACAGCCGTTATTTTGAAATAACTTTCCTAGCATCTACACAGTCAAACTGCCATTTCGAAATTAATTTTGAAATATCGGAGTGCTTATTTCGAATTTGGTAAACCTCATTCCACGAGGAATAACGCCAAATTCAAAATAGCTATTTCAAAATAAGTGCTGTGTAGAAACTTATTTTGAAATATGGGGCCTCCAGCCTTCCCAGGGTGCCCTTGTGGCCACTCCCGCCTCAACCAAGAACATTCCTCTCTCTCCCCCCTTCCCAAAGCCCTTAAAGGGGTTCACTCTGGCCACAGTGTCTGTGCCAGCTCCAAGCCTTCTAGCCGAGAGCCATCAGTCACTGCCCTTGACCCAGTGGCCCCAAAACATGAGCCAGCAAGCCACTGGCAGCCCGCATTCCACCGCTCCCCAGAAGCAGTCTGCCAGCTCCCAGGACCCTGCCTGGTCCAGGGTGGATATCATGGACCATATTCAGGTTTGGGGGGGGATGCCGCCAATATCCATGATCTCCACACTAGATGGAGGAACGCAGCCATCTAGGGCAGGATAGCTGCCAACCTGGCCACCAAAGGCCACATGCGAACCCAGGAGCCGGTTTGCATGAAAATCAAGTTGGTCTGGCGAGACCCCCCATCCCTGAGCCCTGAGCTTCCCCTCCTCCTTCTTCCCCTTGCTTCCCCCTTTCAGCTCCCGCCCACCAGGTTTCCTCCGCCCCTCTCCCACCCTCTCTCTTCCCCTCTCCTGCCTCCTTTCCCCAGTTTCACCAGTTTCATTCCCCCCCCC